ATGACCCATATTTTTTCGTCTTCCTTGTTTATTATATCAACACTATATGTGTCAACTTTTATCTACGATTCCAGACTTCAGGAAAAAAGAATTATATTATAAAAAATTAGTTTTGTGTTCTTCATAAAAAATATTAAAAAAATAATTAAAATTATATTCGATTATATTGAAAGGTTGGAGTATTTCAAACCCTTATAATTTATGCAAATAAATGTGTGGGAGAAAGTTAATCTGGTATCCCATACCACCTTAAAAAGAAACTTCTACATTGGACTCAAAAATTCGTTTTTTATTATACATAAAGCAATATTTTAACCTTTCAGGGGCCTGTTTCACAAAGGTTTCCTAAGATATGTCGTAAGACATAACTTAAGATATGCCTAAGTTATAACTTAGGAAGTTCCTAAGATTTGTCACAGCTGTTTCGCGAAACAATCTTAGCTTAACTTTATCCTAAGACATTTCTTAAGCTGTGTTATATATAATAATTAGATAATAACCCACATAACTACAAATCCTTAACATGTATTGTAAGAAGGAAGTCGCTTTGAGTAGTCTTTAGTTTAAGTTAGCTTATTTCAATTAGTTAGAAAAAAATAGTCTTAAAGGGAGAGAGGTGTGGAGGGGGGGGGGGGGTAGGATTTCTTTTACTTTAATATAAAATGGACAGAAGTGTGATTAAACTGACCTACTCAATTATTTTCCTTGACAAGTTGCCCGATGGAACTAAGTCACCCTCACCTCCATACCACATACGATATACATGCATGTATTTCTTTTTTTAAAAAATTATTCTTAAAGTAGGTGTTTGCTTAATATAAGGTAACGTTCCTAGTAAACCTAATCGAACACGACAATCGTTAGATATATTTTTTGTCCCCCGCTTGAAAAGTGGGGGATATTAATTTGAGTTTGTCCGTCCGTCCGTCTTTCTTTCTGTCTGTAACGCTTTCGTTTCCACACGATATCTCGAGAACCCTTTGAGCTTTTGCAATGAAATTTAGCATAGCAACTCACTATGGACTAAAGAAGACCTCTATTGATTTTGAGGTCCAAAGGTCAAGGTCATAAATAAGCAAATTCTCTCTGTTAAAACACCTTCGTTTCCACAGGATATCTCTAGAACCATTTGAGCTATTGCAATGAAATTTTATATAACAACTCCCTGTGGCCTAATGAAGACCCCTATTGATTTTGAGGTCAAAAGGTCAAAGTTCAAGGTCGTAAATTTATACATTCTGTCTGTGTGTAATACTATCATTTCCGGGCGATATTTCAAGATTTTGAGCTTATGCAATGTAATTTTATACCAAAACTCCCTAGGACGTCTCTCGCCCCTCTCAAAGTGCCCCGCCCCTTTTGTTTTATTAGTATTTGTAGTATTACATGTCGCTATTTTTAGCGCAGGGGCATGAGGAGAGTTATTGCGTATAAAACAGGGTTCTCGGCGGACTTTATGTTCTTATTACATCTATTAGAACTGTTTAATAAAGGCTAAATAAATCAAACACCATGGATTGTGTAAAATTTTGAGAATACCGAACATGAAAACATGAATATATACATGTATGTGACTTGAGTTCTGCATATACTTCTCACCGTGTAAAGCGATTCTGGTCTAGTGGTTATGTCTCTCGCTTCAAAAAAAAAAATGTCTCTCGCTTCAAATGCCAGAGGTCCCGGGATCGAATCTCGGTCGATCCTTTTCTTTTTTTTTTTAAATACTTTTTTTTTTACTAAATGATAGTATTCAGCATGTGAAATGAAAAATTTATGAGGTTATAAAATCATCATTACAGTGTGATAAATATTCCATATAAAAAAATCTTCTATACACATAATAAAGAATAAGCAATCAAATCTTTATATGCATATTGACATACATGTATTTTATTTGCTTCAGTATACATGTATACATTTAATAATTCTACAAATTCAGTCAGGGGGGGGCGACTTTTTCCCTAAGCGTGGGACAAGAATTCTCTGAATTAGCTTGTTTCTTCATGAATGGGTGCTTTTTCTTTGTCTGATCTGCGTTAGTAGTCCGTGTGTTTCGTTTAAAGCCTTCTCGCTCACAAATAACAATGTCTCGACAGAAGAGGAACCACAATCTTACGAATGCTGAAATAACTATTCTTGTAGAAGAAGTAGAAAAAAGAAAAGATGTTCTTTTCTCCAAGCACAATTCCACCGTGACTAATCAAGCCAAAAAGGGGGAATGCATTGGCGTCGGAAGCAAATTGAAAGTGGGGGGGGGCTAAGTGTAATAAAAAATTTTTTACCTTCAAAAAAAACCTGACAAGCAAAAAAAAAAAAAGAAAGAAAAAAGGAAATGTCCATTTCCCAGAGGCGAAAATCCTATTTCGTGGGGGGGGGGGGGGGGGGGTAAGTTCGAACTTTAGAACCTAAGTTTTTCTCCAAACACCAAAACTTTACCCATTTTTAGCCTATACTGCGAGGTGTCTGTGGAAAGTGGGGGGCTAAACCTACGAAACAAGGGTCCATGTCTATAGTAAGTATATATTTGGGAAAAAAGTGGGGGGGGGGGCTAAGCCCCCCTAGCCTCCCCCCCCGTTTCCGACGCCTATGGAATGGGACCATATTTGTTCTAAAGTGAATTCGGTCAATACAAGTTACATTAGGTCAGCAGAGGAACTAAAGAAAAAGTGGAGTGCCATTTGCAGCGAAGGTAAAAAGAAATTCGCGAAAATTAAAAGGGAACAGAGAAAAACTGGTGGTGGCCTTCTGCCGGCAGACTGTAGTATAACCCCACTAGAGGAAAAAATACAATCAATTTTGGGTGAGACATCTACATTCGGAGTTGAGGGGGGCATCGACACTCTTGTACAAAGTGAACGAGGTTCGTGCCCACTAATAAATGTACTAATATTACATATGAATATCAAATCTTTTTTAAATTCCTCGTGTATATTAATATCCTTACAAGGGATATATTCAAATATGGGCATGTGTAACTTTTTTCCTATATGGTCAATTTGTTTGGTATTCTAAAAAATGCCCATTTACAACAAAAAGTTTGTTTTTATACTTGCAAAAACCATAGCAGAGTAGACTCATGGATGGAGAAATAAATTATATTGAGGAAAGTTGAAGACGATGGTATTGATTCTAAAAAAGATTGAGAAAATACATTGTTATTTACTTCAGATTAATCACATGTATACATTCACACACCCTCCCTCACCTACAAACACATCCTCATACACACACATTAATATATATATAACGTATATAATTTATTTATTATAATATTGATAACTTTTATTTTATTTTAAAGATAAGTCGAATGAAGTGTAAAGAAAAGGGGATTTCTTAACAGAAGGTCTATCAACGGACCAATCATTGGAAGTATCTACGGCTACAACAACAGTCACTGCTACATGTACTGAAACTAGCAAACCTACATCAACATGCATTAATGGTAAACTCATCATTTCAATCTGTATACTTGAGTCATCATCGCCTTTAAAACTGATCAATCACTGCACTGAAAATAATGCTATATTTAGTTTAAAGAAATGACCTTCAAAAGATAAAAATATCTCCCTGAGAAATACAGACCCCTCTAAAGATTGCAATGAAAGACATGTATCTGAAGAGAAAAAGAATTTTCCTTACTTTTTTTAAATTCATTTTCTTTCCATGTCTGACATATCTTAGAGTTCATGTGCATCCCAAACTGGAAAATAATCCTGCGCGTGTATTACTTATACTAATCTTCAAATGTGTAACAATATGTTTATTTGTTCATTCTTTTTCACTTGTAGCACCAACTAGGAAGCGGAAACAGGACCTGCAATCACCATCACTGGAATTAGTTAAAATTGAAAAAGAAAGACTGGAAATAGAGAAAAAGAGAATGGAGGTGGAAGCAGAAAGACTGGCGGTTGAGCAGAAACGGCTTAGTATAGAGCAGGCTAGACTGCAAATTGAGCAAGAAAAACATAATATTAAACTTTGTCAGTTGGGCATTATTTCTAATGCTACAGTTACACCTGTCCAATAAATAAATTTTGCAGATGTTATAAATGTTTTATATTTCATATAACACTCATTTATACACACAAGTATTTTATTCTTCAGTAAATGTCATTCATTAGTACAGGTGCATACATTTTCTAAAACCTACATGTGCAGACATGTTCTAAAACCTAGCTTCAATCAACCGTCTCCTATTGTCATTTCCATCATTTAGGGTTCCACGATATACACAGTCATTACCGTCATTAATAACAGGCCTGCCTTGTGTTTCTGGGACTCTGTTTTCAACACAAATGTTGTGCAAAACTGCAGTCGCCACTATGATGTTGCAGGTTCTTTTGGTTGAAAACTGTAAAGTACCACCAGAAGTGTCCATGCAGCGAAAGCGCATTTTCCACACTCCGAAACACCTTTCAATTACATTTCTCGTTTTTATGTGTGCTGTATTATAGGCATTCTCCTTGGGTGTGGTTGGGTTCATAACAGGTGTAAGTAGAAATGTTCTAAGTGGATATCCACTGTCACCTAAAAGCCATCCTCTTGGGATGTTCTTGTTTTCAAAAAGTTGACAAAGGGTGGAATTGTTCCATACAAACGAATCATGTGATGATCCAGGCCACTTTGCTACTATATTAATGAATTTCAGTTTTGCATCACACACAGCCATAGTGTTTATAGAGTGGTAATTTTTTATGCCCCCGGATCGAAAGATCGGGGGTATATTGTTTTTGTCCTGTCTGTCTGTCTGTCTGTCTGTCTGTTTGTTTGTTTGTTTGTTTGTCCCACAACTTTAACCTAGCCCATAACTTTTGAGTGGTTGGGGCTATGGCTTTCATAATTCATAGGTGTGTTACTTGTGAAATGACCTTTCTTTGGGTACCACCAAATTTGACCTCTTGACCTTGACCTTGGAGTTTGACCTACTTTTATTCTATTTGTTATCAACTTTAACCTTTGCCATAACTTTTGAACAGATCGAGATAGAGACTTCATATTTAAAATGCATACTCCACTAGATAAGCACTTTCAACTGACACCAAGGACAATGACCTTTAGACCTTGACTGTGACCTATGTGCTAAAAATAGATTTTTAGAACTTTCGGTATAACTTTTGAACCATAGGAGATAGAGACTTTATATTTGGTATGCCTACTTCACTAATTAAGTGCTTTCAAATGACACCAAGGTCAATGACCTTGTGACCTTGACTGTAACCTTTATGCTAAGAATAGCTTTTTCGAACTTTGTTGCCGCCGGGGGCACAGTGTTTCACAAACACATCTTGTTCTATTTACAAAGACGTGCTCTTCAAATGATGGGGACTTTATTCCAACATGTGTACCGTCTATTGCGCCTATAACATTAGGGAAGCCACAAATTCTTGAAAAATCATACATTCTGTTTGTAATTTCATTCTCATCAATGGACATTTTTATATATCTTGGACTTATTTTGACCAATGATTGAGCCACATCTCTAACAATTCGTGAAATGCTTGCCTTACTTATTCCATGTAAGTCGGCAGTTACTGTTTGAAAGTTACCAGTAGCAAAGAAACGTAATGCAGCCATAAGCTGCAGGGATGGTGGAAGTGCATGAGACCTTCGTGTAGGTCTTGTGATGTCATTTTGTATCGTTTGACAGATGTCCAATATCAAATGACGAGGCAGTTTAAACTTTGAAATAATCTCACGATCATCCATATAGTCCAAAGGATTGTTTCTATCCCTAAACAACCTGTCTCTCCGTAACAGTCTCCGTTAGTTTATTACTAAATATGCAGCCGCCATGTATATGTTGGTAAACTTTTCCCGAGTACCATGAGATTTGGTGCCGAGCGAAGCGAGGGACCAAATCGAATGGCGAGGGAAAAGTTTAACAACATACTTAGTACATGCTTCACACGAGAAATTAAGCCCTTTGTGTCTCTGTCTATTTAATTACAAATCTTTGTGCGTTTCTTATTATTCAATCAAGATAACGATAGTTTGACCCTGACTGTTGCCATTTTGTACAGGCCCAGATGTGATAATTATACCCTCGGGGTAATATCTACCTGTCAGGTGACGGTCTACAGTGAGTAGTTTTCAAACACAATTTCTGTAAATTCAAAAGTCTCTGTTGGAAGATAGTCATATCATTTTGATGGATTTAAGTCAGGAGCATTTTATTTTTGTGAACATTATTAAACATTTGTTTTTGGTGGTAAAATTGATAAATTTTGATGAATTCCACTGAAAACGAAAAGCAGGAAAAGAAAGGTTTACGGTTGGATATACATGTACACTACTTGAGCAATATAGGACGGTTCCAACGTATTTGAACTTCTTTAAAAAAATCATATTTAGACAATCAGTCCATATTTGTTTAATTGGAATCAAAGAATAAATTGAATAGTAAGTAAAATTTTATTGTTCTCACTTTTCAATGCGATAATTCTGATTAAAGTACCAATGTCAATGGTAAATCCTAAATATTCAATCAATTACTAGACATTTCTTAAATTTCTCTTTTACTTTTGATTGTAATTTTTTTTTTCTTCATTTTTTAATTTGGTTAAAGTTGAATAATTCAGGAAGAAAGACAGGGTGAAGAGAAGGAGATCTTTCTTTCTGTACTAATTTATGTAACTTTGCAGATTTTTTTTATCATGTAGCACTTCAGGTCCATTATTCATTGTAGGGTGACCTTGCCCTGTGTCCATAATTGTAATTACCTATTATTGGTAATGATTTGGTCAATAATTATGCACACAATGGCAGAGTCATCCAACCATGAAGCTTGGGCTTGGGGTGTACCAAGTGATTTGGTAGCAGCAAAAATCCTTTGTTCGAGATGTGAAACATGTACTAAATTTAGTTTCTTCCTAAGACATCGATTTACATGTCCTAAAGTTACGACATAACTTAGGAAAATCATAAGATAAGACAAGAATAGTGAAACGGATAAGAAATGAACTTAGGAAAAAGTTCTTTCCTAAGATATAACTTAGTCCTAAGTAGGCTTTGTGAAACGGGCCCCAGGTTCCTTATTATATATTCAACTTGTACACAGTTTGTCGCCTTAGGCTCCAATCATAACAACAGTGACGCTCCAACGGTCACGGAAACATTAAATGATCTGCTGGTCACTTTATATTTGGCATCATGTAAATTACCGGTTGGACGTAGAGCCTCATGTTCGTTTTTCATCCCTTTTTATAGTATATTCGACAACTCCATTTCTTTATTATCAACTTACCTGAAGAAATTAGATAAAAAGATTTTTTTAAACTCCTATCTCAACATAATTTCATTGGCGGTGGAGATTATTAATTAGCATAAATACTAGAGCATTCTACTTTGCAGCTATTAAAAATACCCCTCTTCCGATACGGATCTCCTGCCATCTATCAGTTCTAGTCAAACAGTATTAATCTAAAAAGTTTGAAAAAGATTTGATGGGATTTGATCTTTTTTCAATATGCTGCAAGACTACGGTATTTTCCAGTAAGTGAAAGATTTTTTTTATGACTAACATTACTTATCAAATGCCTCTTAAGATAACAAGCTTAAATGGACAACAACTAATAACACTAGTACAGGTTTGGAGGCATGATTCATAAAAGTAGCATAATATTTTTAAAACGTTTCATCCTTGTACATAAGTCAAGAGAAGAATCCATATTTTACAAAATACCCCCCATTTTGTCGTTCGGTGTACAAACAGATATATAAACTCATCAGAAACCTCAAGTAAACAAGATTTTTTTATCTTCAAGAAGCTTAGTCATATATAAACATTTCAGAAAAGTGATATAAAATGTTGGAGGTCATAACTGTCTTCCTAATTCTGATACTGTGTATATATCGCTACAGGAATGGATTAAAAAGCAACTTTCCCGGTCCAACAGGAATACCATTCTTTGGAGTAGCATTTCAGGTAGACTTTAATCGTCTTCATTTGAAGTTGTCCGAATGGGCATCCATTTATGGAGAGGCTTTTCAGTTTTCAGCCTTTGGGAAATCATACATTTCGCTCAATACAGCCGATGCCATACGAGATGTCTTAGGCTGCGAACCAAATGCCAGTATAGTCGCTTCCCGAGAACCGTCATTTTTTGGGGAGTATTGCCTGGAAGACTATTCCGACATTGTTTTTTCACCTTACAACAGAGAGTGGTCCAGTCGACGTAAAATTGGTCATCAACTCTTACATACGTACGGAGCTGGTATACGTTTGTTGGAGGCCGAAATTTTACAGAAACTTAAGGATGTTAAACAATACATCAAAGATAACGAAGGGAAGGACATAGACCCACATGATATGGTGGAAGATTTCCTATGTAAAAATTTAGCATCACTGGTAAACTCTTTCTTCGAGATACATTTAGTTAAGTAAGGAAAAAGAAGTTTAGTCTATTACTGAATATTATAAAATATTGCATATATATGCTACATGCCAGTACAAACGATATAAATATATTTTTGGTTATTGACAAGAATAACAAATACTTTTGTCAACAAGTATTCAACAAATGTTTATTGCTTTAATTAACTCTTATTAGATTGCTGGAACTACCGATCGAAAACTGCACGGACTAATGAAAGATATGGATGACATTTCCAACGACATTGCAATACCCTTAGTTGATAACATCTTTAAGACATTTCCTTTCCTGCGGTTTCTTCCTTTTTCCATGACCAAGAAACCGTTCCTGGTTAAATCCATGATTGAGGACATGACAAAGAGAATAAAGCAAATAACGGTAAGATTTTTAAACTGTAAGGTATTAACAACTTCATTAGTCTAATTACCTAAACATTTGAGATTTCAATTCCTTCTTTCATTCAAATGCATATCTTACATGATTTTTCCCCAGGAAAAGCAAAATATTGAAAAGGGTATATACTACGAATTGAAAAATGCGGCGGAGACGCATGGGCATCATCTTACAGACAAGGAAATAAAGTGCATTATCACTAATTTTGTTGGAGCAGGTAGTGTTCAAGTCTGTTTTGTTGTATAACGTCCCTTTCAAGAATTTTTCACTCATTATCATATGGAGACGCCACCATTAGGTAGGTGAGAGCTGCAAAGTTTGATCTGCACTCGGCACTCAGGACCTTTGAGCAGTGAGTGATCTTTTTCGTGCCAGCATTTATTTTGGCACTGGACCTCGGTTTATGTGAGATTCAAATACGGGACGTCAACATCAACTCTTTACTCCGCTACCCTACTAATGCATTGGCGTCGGAAGCAAATTGAAAGTTGGGGGGGCTAGGTGTTAAAAAAATTTTTTTTTTATACCTTTTCAAAAAAAACTGACAAGCAAAAAAAAAAAAAAAAAAAAAAAAAAAAAAAAGGGAATGAAAATTTCCCAAACACGAAAATCCTATTTCGTGTGTGTGGGGGGGGGGGGGGGGGGGGGGGGGGGGTGTAAATTCGAACTTCAGTACCAAAATTTTTTTTTTTTATGCACCATTTTTTAAACTTTTTTTACCTATACTGCGATATGCCTGTGAAAAGTGGGGGGGGGGGGGGGGGGGGGCTAAACCTACGAAGCAATGTTCAATGTCAATATAAGTATACATTTGGAAAAAAAGTGGGAGGGCTAAGTCAATACTAAGTATATATTTGGAAAAAAAGTGGGGGGCTAGCCCCCCGGGTTCCGACGCCTATATAAT